ACATGCACCAGAATAATGGCAAGAAAGTGCCATTCTGAATTATCAGGTAAACACAGAGTGAGAGAGAGAGGAAGCTGCTTGCTAATGGAACTGCATGTATATGCGGATAAAAGTGCCCATTTCTGTTGTCCATGCATATGTAATCAGAGTGAAACCACAGTGTGAGCCTGCTGTTGCTCTTACACTGCAGTTGTGCTCTCTGAAACAGGTCTTATATTCATCCCCTCTGCTTCATTCACACACTGTGTATGTGTTTGTTGTGAAGCATGCCGTAAGCTCTGAGAGTGTAGTGGGCAATCAGTAACAGTAATGGGTTTAGTGATACTTTCAGTTTAAGAATCACTGACCCAAAACATAAAAACCCAATACCCACCTCTCTCCACCCCACTCAGTCTTTCACTGACCTAATTCAGCTCAGTCCCTCTAAGGCGCCTGGTTCTGCTCTGAAATAGAGTACTTATGTTTAGTTTGGCCCTGCATGGCCAGTGACACCTGAAACTGCGAGTGAGTCAGAGAGAGCAGGCTGAGGTGAATGGGGTAAAGAGAGAACAGAAATAAGAGTTTGGAACAGTCCCAGGTTTTTTTTAGTAATTGTTCCCTTGTGTGCAGACACACAGGAAGCTGACCATATATATGGCCTGGGTTAAAGACACCTGGCCCGAGTCATCAGTGCTTAAGAGGGCACTCTCACAGCAGAGCTAACGACAGGAGAAATTATGAGCTGGCACCAGAGAAAGAGGTACCTTTAAAGGGTACCGAAGCAGCAGACGTGATAGTTTGTCTGACAGTATATTGGGGGTTATGTACTTTTGAAACAGTAGGTGGGGACTTTTCCATTTACACAGACACTTAAAGAGATTCTGTATTCATTTACTAACCCATGTTTATGCTCATTGACTTCTAATTTGTCATTTAATAGATACCAGTCTTTACTCTCTTATTACACTAAATGCTAATAATAATAAAAAATCATAATAAAGTATGAAAATAGTGAAAATAAAAAAAACTGCATAATCAGATGTTTCATTGTAATTTGGCCTAGCAGGATGTACATGGAAATGCTACTAAATCGGACCTAAGACAGAGCCTTGTGGCACTCCATATATATCAGTTAAAGATCGGTCACACTACACTTTTCGTTCCATTGACTTCCATTCATGCACATGCAAATGCGGGAGAGCAGACGTCCAAGCTTCTGCAAAGTTGTTTCGCATTCCACTCTGTTCCAAAGTTCAAGTGTGGTGAGCTCAGACCTGTGAATTTGTAACAAGTGAAACCGTGTGACCAATACAATGTCGATACGTTACGGCATGACCTCGTAGCTGAATTAAAAGAACATAAATGTAAAACTGCAGCAATGCAAGAAAGTGGAGTAGATTGTATGTTTTTATTTTGGATTTATTTTTATTTGTTATGTGTTAGATTTAAGTTGATCATGTCAGATCACGACTGTTGCAGAGTCAGAAAAATGTTGCATACTTAAAGTCTAGTGTGACTGTGGCTTTAGTCTGAGACAGCTCCACATTTACACATATCCGTAGGAAATAATCTGACAAGTAAAATTTAAACATGATTCCACTACTTTACAAAGAATATTATGAGCAAAAGAAATACATCCAAATTCCGATGATAAACATCAATTGGACAACCATTTTCTTTCTCGTATTCTCAGAAATGAAAGTGACAACATATCAGTTCCTTTATAGTTTGTTATATTTTATGTATATGTGTATATTTTACACTACAACATATGAATGAATGGAGTGGCTCATTTTCATTCCATTATCTGATTTTTTTTTCTCTGAATATATAAAAAATTTGGCATCAGACCCGTTCTGAATGTTTTAATGTAAAAAAATATTTTCTGAGTGATTCACATTTTCCAAATTGCATTTACAGTCATGTCCTTAGAAGACAATTTCCTACCAAAGCATGAAGTTACATGAAGGTCACTTATCGTTTTAAATAGCAGTGCTAGATACCAAGTACCAGGACAGGCGGTTAGGTAAAAATCACACTTATAAATGCAGATGTTACTATATATATGTACCAAGATTTCTTAAATAAGACATGAGCCCAGAGCATTTGTACTGCTGAAGGGATATTATGTCTTTTAAAGTTATTGTGAGATCTAAGACTTTGTTTAAAAGTTGAAATCTCCAACATGCACAGTTAAAACTAGATTCTGCACTAGCATGCCACTGGGCCTGTAAAGACAAGCAATACCATATTCAATTAATAAGTCTAGGGTGGCTTGCGGAATCCGCTGAGCGTGAGTGAAACACGGTGATTACTTTCTCTTTCCACCATCATGCAGATAGCACAGTCGTGTGCAGATAAGCGCAGAGGAATCCATTTAACATGAAGGCAGTGGATATACTGTGCGTGTTTATCAGCCAGCAACACAAGTTGCTTCAGTAGAGATATAGGATCCAAACGCACCGACAGCAGATAAGAAGAGCGGCTGGGCGAAGCGAGCGGAGGAAGTGATAGCGTCTCTTCCCCTTATATTTCTCTCACATTCTCATCGTCTGTGCTTTGTTTTGGCGAGAAAAGTCTCTGATGTTCTTTTCATGATCAAAATAAGGTTGTTCATCAGACGTACTGTAATGGAATCAGTTCAGTACACAGCTCCTTTAAAAGAGAAACGGTAAATGACTCGTCAGGAAATACAATATACTTAAATGCTTTCCTTAAGTGTTTCCATTTATCCCACTTTACCCCAGCTATTCTTGACAAACTATCTGTTAAGCTCAGCTTTAGCTTCTACAGTACATCGCAAGTGCTAAAGCCACCTCTGATCTGATTCAAACTGCAATTACAAATGACAAATTAACAGCTACATCACTAGATGTTAAATATACATAACTGTACATAAGGTATAAATGTTCAGTCAGTTGGTCAGTATCACAAAACAAACCCACACACAGTGACCCAAGCTGGCTGACTGTGCATTGTAAAACAAAGCAATGAAACAAATCCATATGAAATGTTGATTTGAGTGTAAATTGTTTTATTATGTGTATCATGTTTTGAAGTGTATGCATCTCTAAAGCATGCATCCTCTCTACTCTGGATGACCTCAGGTGTGCTAATGGCTATTTCGGTCGTCCCAACGTTCCTGGGGGTTCCTGCCAGCCGTGTATGTGTAACGGTAACCTGGATCTTACAGCAGAGCTCAGCTGCGATCCGGTGACTGGAGCCTGTCTGCGCTGTCGTGAGGGATATGGAGGACCGGACTGTGAAAGGTGCGCTGACGAATACTTTGGTGATGCCCTCATAGCCAAGAATTGCCGAGGTGAGTGAAGGAGCAGAGTTTGATTGTTTTCAGATCATAGCCCTTTGACTAACAGCAACATGTGATGTCTAATCTCTTAAGATCTCAATATTAGACAATTTAAGAATAAATAATTGGAGAAATCCTGCATACATCACCAGAGATAAGGCTGACATTTTCACATTTCGCTTTTGGTTAAACATTACAAAAGGTCAATAATAATAATAAACAAACAAACATAAACATGGATGAATTGTTTACAATAAGATATAACATGCATAATGTAAAAACACAATTTATGCTCTCCATTGATTTTTTATAAATTCTGTTTAAACCTAAAGGCAGATCTACCATGACCTCTGAGTTTGTTAGATGACTGTATTTTCTTCTGCAGAAGACAGTCGGTGTGATTTCAACTTTTTAAAAACCATGTTTATTGACTGAATGCCCTACATGAATGTCCCTATTGACTACACTACCCATAATCCTTTAGAGAGATCCACCAATCAAGTCACAGTTACCATGATCACAGTTGTAGACAATTCTGTTTTTGTTTTTATGAAATTGTGATTTGATTGGTGTGCTATTAGTTCATTATTACACAAAATAATTTAGACCTATATAATACAGTTATACTTTATTTTATGAATATCATTGTTTTTGTAAAATTAAGATGACCTGTTAAATATGTACTTTGAAGGTCTAAATGAAAATGTAAAAAGTTAGTCTTTGAACCTCCCAGAGCAGAAAATTGGACACTCTATAACTGCAGTAAAAGGGGGGATATTTTGTGCCTTTCCTAAGACAAACCATATTTGGTTGTCACTTTAGGAATTTTTTAATGTGTCTGTTTTTGTAGAAATTAAATTGTGTTCTTCCAGACAGCCTGTGTGTGTGTGTGTGTGTGTGTGTGTGTGTGTTTAATGTGTCTGTTTTTGTAGAAATTAAATTGTAGACAGCCAGACAGCCTGTGTGTGTGTGTGTGTGTGTGTGTGTGTGTGTGTGTGTGTGTGTGTGTGTGTGTGTGTGTGTGTGTGTGTGTTTGTGTGAGGTGAGTTGATCCAGTAGCACGGGCCGTCTACCCTCAAGGACAATACACACAGATTCCCCTCCAACAAGCCTCACGCTGCACCATCTGTGCTCCATCTCAGTCAGAGAAAGTGTGTGTGCATTATATTGAAATGCAATCTGTCCTCCTGCAGCCCTACAGCAGTGTGCCCACAGTTACACCGTGCTGTAATTTTAAGCAGGATAGAGTCATTCTGTTCGATTGTTTTCCACACACACTGCACTAATTAGCATGCAAAGGGGTCATGGAATATTGAATAATCTCACTGGTTTTTAATTTTAGTTGTTATACACGCCAGAGGCAAGTTCAAAGCACATTTGGGTTGCACACATTCCCTTGGTTGTGCATGAAACATGACAATGAAACAGTTTCCCAGAGTTTATGTGTTCCTACTGATTTTAACAGTGCTTAGTTCATTTGATGTGGTTATAATATTGCAAAACATATTCAGATGGTGGGGTCCGAACTGAAAGTCTGGGATTCAAAGTCTTATTTAAACCTGTAAGGAAACAGGAAGTCTTAGGATTTTTAATGTCAAATTTGTGATGTGAAAAATTGTGTAAAAATTAATAATTGTTCATGTTGTGATATTCCCATGTTAACTTTTTTAAATAAAAGTTTGACTCAAATTGTTATACTTATGCTATTATCAGACTGATTTCTTATGTTAAATTAGAAAATTGCTAAATAGAAACATTCCACTAATATCAGATATTGTACAAACGTCATATTTGAAAAATATGCACCAAGTTTCAGTAGGCCTATCTACTAAAACATATACATCAGTCAAGGGGAGTGAAGCGGAGCCAATGCTTGTCCATTTTTAACCTCTGAAGCATGTTTATATTTAATGTGAGATTATAGGACTTACTTTATTTCTGCTGGGAATAACAAGTTTCGAAGAGAAGAATCATCAGTAAAACAATGCAGTGCAGCACAGCGCTCAGTGGGATGCTTACAGAAGTAGTTTAATGACCTACATTACACAGAAAGGCTTCTTTACCTGCAGTGTTGTACATAATGAAGTACACGCCAGTTCCTCCTAAACACAACAACACTTTGTTTGGAATATATATATACAGTATGTATTGTCAAAACATTGATGGAAATGTCACTGATCACGATTTAGTGTCAACGTCAAACTACAATCATATCTGTGGCCATAGTGCATTCTTAGTGAATTCCCTCCTGAGTGTGTTTTATGTACACTGCCAATCAGAAGTTTGGTGCCAATCAAAAGTTGGTGGGCTCTGCCTCTGACTCAGGTACAGGAGTTGGTCCACAAGGTGGAGAGAGACTGCTGCTAGATCCATAGGTATTATTATTTATTATATAACTCCCATCCAGGTACTGACCAGCTCAACACTGCTTAGCTTCAGTGGGCAACCAGTTTTGGCATACACACTATTACACTATTACTACCTTCAGAACCATTAAAAACCAATGAGAACCATATTCCAAACTTTTGACTGGCAGTGTATGTTCTGGATATAAAGGCAAAATATAACCTACTGTCACTCTAGATGTAATGTCTTCATGTCTAGTCGTGTTTCTCTCTACAAGTTTCTCTCTGTGTCTCTGTGTAGCGTGTCAGTGTCACACTAACGGATCGTTCTCAGAGGTGTGCCATCAGGAGACCGGACAGTGCCAGTGTCGACAACATGTTGTTGGACGTCAGTGTGATGAGTGCATGGTGAGTATACAGCACACCACACCAAATGCAGTCATTTCTGTCATTGGGTTAGATTGACATTACTGTATGCATAACACATTCCCTATTCATTGCGTCAGTGTGAGTAATTTTCTTATATATTTTTTATATTTTCTTATTTTTGTCTCTGCCTCTTCATAAACCCGTGTATGTTTAGCCGAATTGTTGGTGGGACAGTGAAGCTCAGTTGTGTAGGCCGTGTCAGTGCAGCGCTCGGGGCTCCGTGTCCCAGCGCTGTGACTCTGAGGGCAGGTGCATCTGTCGGGCCGGATACGTGGGCCGCAGGTGTGACCTCATGCGCCCGCCTCACTCTCGCAGGGAGACCCGGCGACCCGTCCAACAGGTTCCCATCCAACACATCCAGAGATGGGAAAGCAGAGGGGGCTGCCCTCGAGGGGCGTACCGCCCCGGCACAGGGGTAAACGCACGGCATGATGGGTGCACAGGATCTGTGTGTGTGTGTGTGACTTCCTTTGACTCGTCTAATATCAGTTTAAGAGTGTTCAAAATAACACATTATACACATAACTTTTTTTCCCTTTTTATTGCTGATCAGATCAGCTGTTTTTCAAGTTTACTCCTGTTTACAATTTACCAGCCAGGGCTATTATCGTTCACTAAAACTATTCTATAAAAAAAATATGATCTATTGAAATTAAGCTAAAATAAAATGGCAATAGTATATGCAAAACTTTATATGAAAATTAGAAAGGTTGCCTTGGCAACTAACCGAAAAACACTATTTTAGTTGCTGGAAATAAATTGTACTATCTGGACATAAATAAAAACTACAACTGAAATGGAAATCAATTAAAAATAAATAGTAATATTTAAAAAAAATAAAAAAGACCAATACATAACAAAATGACTAAAAATGTAACTAAAATTAAAATGGAAGCTGAAAATATATAAGCTAATTTAAAACATTAATACAAACTATAATAGTGTATGCATAGCTCCTAATTGCAATTTTTATATTTGTTCCTTTGCAAAGTTGTGTTTATATTTTATTTCTGTTATATAAAATATATTCCCTGTAATGTAACATATTAATGTATATCATAATGTATGATGCTGCTTTTCAGGGTAGGTTTTTGGCAACAATAATGCAGTACTGAGGGCATCATGCATCACTTCAAGATCAGCATTATGCATTATACTGTAGGTCATCACATGCATACTGAAAAAAAATATTTAGAATTATTACACTTGCGTTTTCTCACTACCTGTAAATACGCGTTTTTGCACAAAACCTGTGTGAACATTTTCATGCACAAACTGTACCCAACAAGTTCACACTTTTATTCTAAATGTAGAATGTGCTTGAATTCTGCTGGCCTTAGAAACATGGGAATCAAAGTGGGTTTTTTTTATAGATATGATTATTATTAGAAACTGAGTTGCTAAGTGTGAGTTACATGTCTTTCTTATTTCACAGCAACAACATGAGCATGTCAGAACTCGATCTGGGCTTCTTCATAAAGATGTTTATTGCGTTTCATCTGGTTTCGATAATGATACGTTTGGCTTTAAAGGGCTCCTGCATTGCATTCATAATGTTTCTAATGTTCCTGGAGGTGCTCTTATAATGTTGGTTGATTTTTACATCAAAAGTCATAAATTGGAAAATAAATGGTTTTGGCTCTCTGATTTAAACAATCAGTTTAAGGGTTGTGTCTCCTTTCAGATTAAATACCCACTGCTATGACTGGGTAACTTCTATGCATGTGGAATAACAGTTATGAACAAGAGTTCAATACCAACTTACGGTATGTTTTTATAGTGCAGTGACCGCTTACATGTCAAAAGATCAGGGAAATTTTGATTTCTCAATTTATTCCTCAAGGACAAATCCACGTGCAATTGTGTTTGTGCAGAGGTTTTGCATGAGAAACTTTTCTGCATGCTTAAGTACACTTGTGTACAGTTATTAATGAAAGAGACCAAAACAAGTATGCATAATTCAAAGAGACATCCTTTGGTTTTAAGACGGATGTAACATAATGTGCACAGTCTGCGTTGGTTTTTAATTATACATTTACATGTAACATTAGTTAAGTAGCACTTAAGAGAGTCAGTTAATCTGTCAAACTCAGAAAGCACATGGCAGTGTTAAATGCTGTGATTTTTATGTTTTAGTCTTTTCTTAGACTTTAAAAAGCACCAGGCATGGTTATGAGTTCTCTTGGAGGAGAGTTTTGTTACTTTGGCTCACAGCTTTGCATGCTCTGTGTGTGTGTGTGTGTGTGTGTGTGTGTCCTCATATAACTACAACTGAAATGGAAATCAATTAAAAATAAATAGTAATATTTAAAAAAAATAAAAAAGACCAATACATAACAAAATGACTAAAAATGTAACTAAAATTAAAATGGAAGCTGAAAATATATAAGCTAATTTAAAACATTAATACAAACTATAATAGTGTATGCATAGCTCCTAATTGCAATTTTTATATTTGTTCCTTTGCAAAGTTGTGTTTATATTTTATTTCTGTTATATAAAATATATTCCCTGTAATGTAACATATTAATGTATATCATAATGTATGATGCTGCTTTTCAGGGTAGGTTTTTGGCAACAATAATGCAGTACTGAGGGCATCATGCATCACTTCAAGATCAGCATTATGCATTATACTGTAGGTCATCACATGCATACTGAAAAAAAATATTTAGAATTATTACACTTGCGTTTTCTCACTACCTGTAAATACGCGTTTTTGCACAAAACCTGTGTGAACATTTTCATGCACAAACTGTACCCAACAAGTTCACACTTTTATTCTAAATGTAGAATGTGCTTGAATTCTGCTGGCCTTAGAAACATGGGAATCAAAGTGGGTTTTTTTTATAGATATGATTATTATTAGAAACTGAGTTGCTAAGTGTGAGTTACATGTCTTTCTTATTTCACAGCAACAACATGAGCATGTCAGAACTCGATCTGGGCTTCTTCATAAAGATGTTTATTGCGTTTCATCTGGTTTCGATAATGATACGTTTGGCTTTAAAGGGCTCCTGCATTGCATTCATAATGTTTCTAATGTTCCTGGAGGTGCTCTTATAATGTTGGTTGATTTTTACATCAAAAGTCATAAATTGGAAAATAAATGGTTTTGGCTCTCTGATTTAAACAATCAGTTTAAGGGTTGTGTCTCCTTTCAGATTAAATACCCACTGCTATGACTGGGTAACTTCTATGCATGTGGAATAACAGTTATGAACAAGAGTTCAATACCAACTTACGGTATGTTTTTATAGTGCAGTGACCGCTTACATGTCAAAAGATCAGGGAAATTTTGATTTCTCAATTTATTCCTCAAGGACAAATCCACGTGCAATTGTGTTTGTGCAGAGGTTTTGCATGAGAAACTTTTCTGCATGCTTAAGTACACTTGTGTACAGTTATTAATGAAAGAGACCAAAACAAGTATGCATAATTCAAAGAGACATCCTTTGGTTTTAAGACGGATGTAACATAATGTGCACAGTCTGCGTTGGTTTTTAATTATACATTTACATGTAACATTAGTTAAGTAGCACTTAAGAGAGTCAGTTAATCTGTCAAACTCAGAAAGCACATGGCAGTGTTAAATGCTGTGATTTTTATGTTTTAGTCTTTTCTTAGACTTTAAAAAGCACCAGGCATGGTTATGAGTTCTCTTGGAGGAGAGTTTTGTTACTTTGGCTCACAGCTTTGCATGCTCTGTGTGTGTGTGTGTGTGTGTGTGTGTGTCTTCATATATCTGGCATCCATGGGGTGCCACTGACAGTCTGTGCCAGGGCCGCTTCTCATTGGTTGCTACGGTGACAGCGCACCTGTTCCTAGCAGACAGATGGCTGTCAATCACCCACAGCAATGACTGCCACAGTGACTTCACATCCACATGGCGTGGTGTGTGTGTGTGTGTGTGTGTGTGTGTCTTCATATATCTGGCATCCATGGGGTGCCACTGACAGTCTGTGCCAGGGCCGCTTCTCATTGGTTGCTACGGTGACAGCGCACCTGTTCCTAGCAGACAGATGGCTGTCAATCACCCACAGCAATGACTGCCACAGTGACTTCACATCCACATGGCGTGTGCAGATTTATCATCACTGCATGATCATTTTGATCATTAAAATGAAATTGTTGGCATTTACCTCTCAACATGTCTTTACAGTCAGTTGAAGTGAGTGTAAAGGGGACAGAGTACAAACTGGAGACAGAGGCAGATTTCTGTGGTTTGGTTTGATCTGTAATATCTGCATGCACTAAATGACTAAACACAGCACATTCCACGAATAGGTGCAAAAAATGAGCTTGATGCTCTTTATGAAGTAATTTCTTTTGTTATTTTTCTAAAGGTTAAACACCACCCACACATGAAAAACCCCTGTTCTCAACATATGTAATAGTTATCGCTCTAAAAATATAGGATTTGTGCCTTCGTTGCTTTTTAAATCTATTTGTACCTTATTTGTGGAAAGTGCCACACAGCGCAGTCTAGCCATCACTCTGAGAATGGCCTTGTTTTAACCCTCCTCACTGTCTCCTCTCTGTCTCTGCAGTCTGGCTTACACATGCAGGGCGCTCAAGGCTGCGTCCCATGCCATTGCAATTCATTCGGATCGAAGTCGTTTGATTGTGATGAGAGCGGTCAGTGTCGCTGTCAGCCTGGTGTGACGGGACAGAAGTGTGACCGCTGCGCTCCCGGACACTTCAGCTTCCAGGAAGGCGGCTGCACACGTAAGAATTCACCTCCGAACCTCGAGCCCTTGATATGAGACCATGTATGTGCCTCTGTAATTCATTCCAGATTCACCCGTGCATTTCGATTTTTATTTGTACAAACAATAGAACAGTAATTCCATAGGATAGGAAAAGCATTAAAGGTACAGTTCACTTAAGAATTAACATTCTGACATTTTTAATCCCCCCCCTCCTTTCTTTCATTTCAAACCATATAAGTTTTTTTCCCTGCTGTGGATTTTGAAAAAGTCCGTCTAAACTCATCTTTAATTTACATTAATGTCACAAGTGTCTCGCGTTTATTTGTTTTTTGATAGGGGCAATGCATGTTAATAAACATTAGTATAGAATTTATTCTGTTTATTTTTTTTATTTTATTAATTTAATTGTTTGGTTTTTTATTAGTTTTTATTGTTTAAAAAAAAATTTTAATAGCAATTTAGT